TTTGCTCTACATAAGTGGGGTAAGTAGTTGCCGATCGACTTTATAGTTGGTTCATAGTAATGAGTGTGTCTTTCTTTACACAGGAGACCTATCAGGTAAAACTCTTGGAAAATTTAATAATCAGAAGCCCAATACTCCGCGCTCTAAACACTCAGCAACAGAACAACGTCGAAGGAGCAAGATAAATGACAGGCATGATTTACGATACCGATCTTATTAATTGGTTGGAATGTTAAAGCTTATCCACAACAACAACAACAAATCTAGTATAATCTCAACTTTATTGGAATCTAGGGTGTCAAGATCTACACAATCTTACCCCGGTAAAAAACTGAGAGTTTGTTTTTGTTAGACTCATGATGCAATTGCATTTACTTCCCAAAGCTCAATGGAATTAAGAAACTGGGAAGTTTAATGTGTCATTTTGTTTTTGTCCATTATTTACCTGAAGCTAAAACATTACGGAGTATTATTTAAGTCAAACGTTTTTATGTCCTTTGGCAATGGACGAAATGTTAAAGCTTATATAGTTATATGCAAGTAAATATTTGTAATGCGCAAGTTTTTGCTTAATGTTTAAAAAATCATTTCTATTTCATTCTGCAGATTTCAGATGTTGAGGGGCATCATCCCACACAGTGACCAAAAGAGAGACAAGGCATCATTCTTATTGGAGGTTGTGCATATCGATTTGTTTCTCCCATTTCGAATTTTAGTCTCACACTTAAGATTGGCTATAAAATTGTAATTTGAATTTCTTTGCAGGTCATTGAGTACATTCAGTTTCTACAAGAGAAGGTACAGAAGTATGAAGGATCATACCAAGGCTGGGAACACGAACCCACAAAGTTTCCATGGGTAATTGATCTATATATTTTGTCTATAATATCTCCTCCGTATCATTTATACTTGTTTCTTGATATTGGTGCTTCGTTTATGGTTCTTGTGAAACAGAACAAGAGTCAAACAGGTGCGCAATGTTTCATTAACCATCCGCATATAACGAACAATGGGTCTGATCCAGCCCTAATGTTTGCTTCAAGATATGCGGAGACTAAACCTGTACTACCTCTCATCAATGGACAGAAAGTCGAACCAGAAGCAAGGACGTGTTTGGTAAAAGATGTAACTACTAATCATCACCAATCCGTGCCTCTACCATTCAATCCAAACATGTCTCATCATTGCGGGACCAGTAGCATAGCGGCATCCCAAACATTTCCCAAACTGGCATCGGATAAAGATAAACCGATTTTCCAGCATCAATCTCCTTCTCTACCTAACCACGCCATTTTGGGCGACGGACCAAAAGATCAAAACCCAAGTATAGAGAGCGGCACAATCAGCATTTCAAGCATCTATTCACAAGGGTAAGAATTCTTCTCATTTTCCAAGAGTTTCATACACCTCTCTTCTTGCGTAACAACGCCCCCCTATTTTGTAGTACTCTAGGACTCTGTTCTTTTGGGTAGAATCAGCATCTAATATGTATTTGTAAGACAGTGTTGTACTAGAGTTGAAACATGTTTGTTTAAGGAATCTAAATTGTACTGCCAATTTCCATCAGGTTGTTGAGTAGTCTCACGCATGCCCTTCAGAGTGCTGGTGTGGACCTTTCCCAAGCCTGCATCTCAGTGCATGTTGATCTTGGGAAAAGACCAAACGGTCGATTAAACTCTCCTTCCACGATCAAGGTTAGTCCACCTTTTCTCACGCAATCTTTTTATTCTTCTTCGATTAAATTTATATGAAGTAGTTACCTTTTGGTTGATTTTTTTTTAAATATATTGAGGATTCAGCCATTTCAAGCACAGTCTAGGAGCCATTGGCCATTTTAGTCCTTGAACAGACTCCTAACTCTCAACAACACTCATCACAAATCCATAACCTCCCTCTTATAATTTGTAATCTAAGAACTCAAGTTTTTGACTTCTATTTCTTTGTCCGTCCTAAAATAAAATTTTACATTTACGGGGTCAGTGATCTAACAACACTATATGATCAATGGTGTTATATTTAGGGAGACGATGTTTCCACAAGCAATGAACCGATACTACGCTCCACAGTTACAAATGCGGGGGAGGAAACCGGGCAAGCCAGGAAAAGGATAAAACCCAGCAGAAACTAATAATAAACCCACAACAAATCTATAAGCTAAGCATTCATTCATTCTGTAATTGGTTTATTCATAATTTTTTTTAGTTTCACGATTTTTTTTTTGGGGGGGGGGGTTCTCCTTAGCTATTTATTTCCCCTTCATTTCATTGGGATTTACTCTAGAAATGCTGGCATTCCGTACATAGCAAATCAAGAATATGCTCAAACAATGTCAGGATTCACGAACCCACTGTACATGTAATGAGTATATATGTAATGTGCTATCCATTGATACCTTTTAAGTCTATATATAATCATCGATTATGCTAACCATTGGCCTTTAAGGGTGTTAAATGACTTTTTTGTCAGTAATTTTAAAATGATAACTTCGGTCTTTTTTTTAGTTAAGGAGAAGAGGGCTGGGTGGAATGTAGGGGGCTTGAAAACTTGGGTGAGGTGCAATGAGTTTTGGGAGACCACCGTATTTGACCTTAGATAATTTTATCTATTTTAGCGGGTATTTAAATAAATATCGTAAATTAGTGTTTTGAGCCTAAATTGTAATATATATATATATATATATATATATATATATATATATATATATATATATATATATATATATTCGGAGTAAAACTTTATTGGTGCCTAAGGAATTTAATTTAAGAACCGAGAAAACGTGCACGATCGACAGCATACTCCAAGTACGTACATATGGTATGTTCATGTTTTTGTCATTTTATTTGAACTGTATTTTTTAATGCTTTTTTTGGTACAAAGAAAACAAGTTACATTCAAGGGTCAAAAAATATGGTTCAGTTTTTCTTTTTCTTAACGAAGGTTCACTTCCTATGTTTTATTTCTTTTTTTGTGTAAAAATGAAACATGTATATAACTTACAATTTCTTTCTTTTTCTAATTAAACTCCAATCATTCATTATACTTCTTTTGTCTTTTATAAATTCTTTCAATTGCACTTTTTATTTGCTCGGTAAAGATCTTTTCATTACTTTTTTTAATCCTTTATATATATAAAGGAGAGTCGGAGCTGTAGGAAGGCAACATTTGGCGAAGCTATGGCACGACATTTGGCGGAGCTCTGGCACGACATTTGGCAAATCTGATGTGTCACCCTTTTGGACAAACCGGCCAGTCGAACCGGACCTTTTTTTTGCAATTTTTTTCCAAAAGAATACCACCATGAGGTTTGAACCCAAGATCTCTTGGTAATTTAATTGAGTTTCTAACCATTCAAACTGGAGTGCTTTTTGTTACAATTTCACTTAACCTTTTTATAGTATTTCATAATTAAAAAAGGATTGTATAAAAATTTATTTTTAGTTATAAAAAATATAGTCCTTTAATATAATATTTGAGACTCCGTTTGCTAGAAAGTCGTCAAGTGTCAAGCTTATGTGGGCTATATTAAGGTGAGATGACAACCCTTTATTGGTTGCTTATGTGGCAAATTTTATTAATGATGAATTGACCTTTCTTTTAATTTTAAAATAGAAATTTAATAATGATTCAAATTTTGGAAAAATTTTACGTAAAAAGTTTTAGGACAAATAAAGAATTCATTACTTCGTGACATTAATTGAGTATTTATATTTTTTATTTTTAAAAAGCAATTCATTTAATCCCTCTGTCCTAAAACTTTTTACGTAAAATTTTTCCAAAATTTGAATCATTATTAAATTTCTATTTTAAAATTAAAAGAAAGGTCAATTCATCATTAATAAACTTTGCCACATAAGCAACCAATAAAGGGTTGTCATCTCACCTTAATATAGCCCACATAAGCTTGACACTTGACGACTTTCTAGCAAACGGAGTCTCAAATATTATATTAAAGGACTATATTTTTTATAACTAAAAATAAATTTTTATACAATCCTTTTTTAATTATGAAATACTATAAAAAGGTTAAGTGAAATTGTAACAAAAAGCACTCCAGTTTGAATGGTTAGAAACTCAATTAAATTACCAAGAGATCTTGGGTTCAAACCTCATGGTGGTATTCTTTTGGAAAAAAATTGCAAAAAAAAGGTCCGGTTCGACTGGCCGGTTTGTCCAAAAGGGTGACACATCAGATTTGCCAAATGTCGTGCCAGAGCTCCGCCAAATGTCGTGCCATAGCTTCGCCAAATGTTGCCTTCCTACAGCTCCGACTCTCCTTTATATATATAAAGGATTAAAAAAAGTAATGAAAAGATCTTTACCGAGCAAATAAAAAGTGCAATTGAAAGAATTTATAAAAGACAAAAGAAGTATAATGAATGATTGGAGTTTAATTAGAAAAAGAAAGAAATTGTAAGTTATATACATGTTTCATTTTTACACAAAAAAAGAAATAAAACATAGGAAGTGAACCTTCGTTAAGAAAAAGAAAAACTGAACCATATTTTTTGACCCTTGAATGTAACTTGTTTTCTTTGTACCAAAAAAAGCATTAAAAAATACAGTTCAAATAAAATGACAAAAACATGAACATACCATATGTACGTACTTGGAGTATGCTGTCGATCGTGCACGTTTTCTCGGTTCTTAAATTAAATTCCTTAGGCACCAATAAAGTTTTACTCCGAATATATATATATATATATATATATATATATATATATATATATATATATATATATATATATATTACAATTTAGGCTCAAAACACTAATTTACGATATTTATTTAAATACCCGCTAAAATAGATAAAATTATCTAAGGTCAAATACGGTGGTCTCCCAAAACTCATTGCACCTCACCCAAGTTTTCAAGCCCCCTACATTCCACCCAGCCCTCTTCTCCTTAACTAAAAAAAAGACCGAAGTTATCATTTTAAAATTACTGACAAAAAAGTCATTTAACACCCTTAAAGGCCAATGGTTAGCATAATCGATGATTATATATAGACTTAAAAGGTATCAATGGATAGCACATTACATATATACTCATTACATGTACAGTGGGTTCGTGAATCCTGACATTGTTTGAGCATATTCTTGATTTGCTATGTACGGAATGCCAGCATTTCTAGAGTAAATCCCAATGAAATGAAGGGGAAATAAATAGCTAAGGAGAACCCCCCCCCCCAAAAAAAAAATCGTGAAACTAAAAAAAATTATGAATAAACCAATTACAGAATGAATGAATGCTTAGCTTATAGATTTGTTGTGGGTTTATTATTAGTTTCTGCTGGGTTTTATCCTTTTCCTGGCTTGCCCGGTTTCCTCCCCCGCATTTGTAACTGTGGAGCGTAGTATCGGTTCATTGCTTGTGGAAACATCGTCTCCCTAAATATAACACCATTGATCATATAGTGTTGTTAGATCACTGACCCCGTAAATGTAAAATTTTATTTTAGGACGGACAAAGAAATAGAAGTCAAAAACTTGAGTTCTTAGATTACAAATTATAAGAGGGAGGTTATGGATTTGTGATGAGTGTTGTTGAGAGTTAGGAGTCTGTTCAAGGACTAAAATGGCCAATGGCTCCTAGACTGTGCTTGAAATGGCTGAATCCTCAATATATTTAAAAAAAAATCAACCAAAAGGTAACTACTTCATATAAATTTAATCGAAGAAGAATAAAAAGATTGCGTGAGAAAAGGTGGACTAACCTTGATCGTGGAAGGAGAGTTTAATCGACCGTTTGGTCTTTTCCCAAGATCAACATGCACTGAGATGCAGGCTTGGGAAAGGTCCACACCAGCACTCTGAAGGGCATGCGTGAGACTACTCAACAACCTGATGGAAATTGGCAGTACAATTTAGATTCCTTAAACAAACATGTTTCAACTCTAGTACAACACTGTCTTACAAATACATATTAGATGCTGATTCTACCCAAAAGAACAGAGTCCTAGAGTACTACAAAATAGGGGGGCGTTGTTACGCAAGAAGAGAGGTGTATGAAACTCTTGGAAAATGAGAAGAATTCTTACCCTTGTGAATAGATGCTTGAAATGCTGATTGTGCCGCTCTCTATACTTGGGTTTTGATCTTTTGGTCCGTCGCCCAAAATGGCGTGGTTAGGTAGAGAAGGAGATTGATGCTGGAAAATCGGTTTATCTTTATCCGATGCCAGTTTGGGAAATGTTTGGGATGCCGCTATGCTACTGGTCCCGCAATGATGAGACATGTTTGGATTGAATGGTAGAGGCACGGATTGGTGATGATTAGTAGTTACATCTTTTACCAAACACGTCCTTGCTTCTGGTTCGACTTTCTGTCCATTGATGAGAGGTAGTACAGGTTTAGTCTCCGCATATCTTGAAGCAAACATTAGGGCTGGATCAGACCCATTGTTCGTTATATGCGGATGGTTAATGAAACATTGCGCACCTGTTTGACTCTTGTTCTGTTTCACAAGAACCATAAACGAAGCACCAATATCAAGAAACAAGTATAAATGATACGGAGGAGATATTATAGACAAAATATATAGATCAATTACCCATGGAAACTTTGTGGGTTCGTGTTCCCAGCCTTGGTATGATCCTTCATACTTCTGTACCTTCTCTTGTAGAAACTGAATGTACTCAATGACCTGCAAAGAAATTCAAATTACAATTTTATAGCCAATCTTAAGTGTGAGACTAAAATTCGAAATGGGAGAAACAAATCGATATGCACAACCTCCAATAAGAATGATGCCTTGTCTCTCTTTTGGTCACTGTGTGGGATGATGCCCCTCAACATCTGAAATCTGCAGAATGAAATAGAAATGATTTTTTAAACATTAAGCAAAAACTTGCGCATTACAAATATTTACTTGCATATAACTATATAAGCTTTAACATTTCGTCCATTGCCAAAGGACATAAAAACGTTTGACTTAAATAATACTCCGTAATGTTTTAGCTTCAGGTAAATAATGGACAAAAACAAAATGACACATTAAACTTCCCAGTTTCTTAATTCCATTGAGCTTTGGGAAGTAAATGCAATTGCATCATGAGTCTAACAAAAACAAACTCTCAGTTTTTTACCGGGGTAAGATTGTGTAGATCTTGACACCCTAGATTCCAATAAAGTTGAGATTATACTAGATTTGTTGTTGTTGTTGTGGATAAGCTTTAACATTCCAACCAATTAATAAGATCGGTATCGTAAATCATGCCTGTCATTTATCTTGCTCCTTCGACGTTGTTCTGTTGCTGAGTGTTTAGAGCGCGGAGTATTGGGCTTCTGATTATTAAATTTTCCAAGAGTTTTACCTGATAGGTCTCCTGTGTAAAGAAAGACACACTCATTACTATGAACCAACTATAAAGTCGATCGGCAACTACTTACCCCACTTATGTAGAGCAAAGAAAAGAAACACAAAATCAAAACCTTGTGGTAGAGGTGACGGCTCTTTCTTGATTGCAAACCCTTCATCTTCTTCTACATCATCCTCGTCTTGAGCACTTCTAGCCGAGGCTAACATATTTAAGAAACTTCTGTTGTTTTGAGCAGTCAATTGTCTGCAAGACAAGAAGTATAAGTGAAACAAATCAACTATGAAAATGACATTGCGAGAAAGAATTGAGGATGTAACTCACGGTGGGGAAGACAAGGAACTAATTGTTGCCGTGCTATGCCTATGGTTGGATGATGATACTGATGGCCATTCCATCACCGTGCGCTGCTGTTCTACACCGTTAACGCCTGTTTCCATCCCATTAAAATTTTAGATCATGTTAAACATATTTCCTCAAATTGCTGAATCATCACTTCAGAAAATCTTTTAGTACACAACAAATATGAATGTCATTACCTCCGAGAACGCGTCTCTCTACCAAAGTATTCTCCTTCCCCGTCTTTCCCTTGCTCACAACAGATTCATCCCACAAGGTGAATCCACTCCCAGTATAAGAACTGGAGTTTGAGTTCTCGTCGTTTACATCAGTAGTACTTGGGTGTGCCATAGAGAATATGCTGCCTTCTGGCTTTGGAACCCCTTGCAAATGAGAAATGCTAAAAGTTCCAATCCCACCAGGAAGGTTACTATGCTGCTGCATGGATGGAAGATGAGGCAGCATTGAAGGCTTTTCTACAACTTTAACTTTTCTTTCTTCCTTCCCAACAACTTTCTCTTCCAATGGTTGCAAGAAGTCATGAGTTCTAAGGAAATTTCCTGCTGATGAATTCACCAAGTAATGGTCATTTTGAAGATTATTCATGGTAGCGAATAAAAGGTCGCAATTATTTTTGGACGAAGAGAGTAAATCTTAGCTGCAAAATTTTTGTTCTTAATAATAGTCAAACATTTTCGAAATCGGATGCCAAATGGAATATTTTGGTAGACCTCATTTTATCTAAAATGCTAACAAGAATCGAAAATATTGTCCCCAAACAAGGCGATAATATGGTCAAGTCTGTTGATTGTCCAAATAATTTGGTGGAGCCTACACAGGAATTGTCAGTGAGGCGGAAATTGGATGGGATGTGAAGTTTCAAGGCTATAGGAGGACAGTTTAACACAGCTTTTTGGATTCAACCAATCGTGGGCCAGCCTAACAACTACCCCACACAGTATCTGGCCTAGATCCATGCCCCCTATCCGGCATTGATCCATCCATCATTAACTATTCATTATCCTCGCTCGTCCAAGAAAAATAATTAGTTTGATTTGGCAAGAATTTTAAGAAAGATGAAATTACGTGGCTTTCGTATTAATGACCGAATCCTGAAGGAAAAAAAACAAATGTAAAGAGCTATATTGAACAAAGACATTAAAGAATCACTTCCCTCAGTTCCCTGTACAGGTATGACTTTTTGTAATTAATCATTTTCAATTTTTTACCATAATAAATAAAATATATACTTCCTCCGTCCAGAAATAAATTTTCCGTTGCGCGTTACGATTTTTGACTAAAGTTATTTTTAAATTAATTTTATATGAAAAATAGTGTAAAATTTAAAAATGAAAATTACATATTAAAAAACTATATCAAAAGATCTACAAAACTAGAGGTGACATGACTATATTATCTTATCAAATGTGTGACGAAAATAAGGCAACAAAGTGAATAAAGTTTGACCAACGAGAGGTTTTTTTGTGGACGAAGGGAGTATTATATATTAATTGGATCAAATAATCTTTTAAAAAGATTTTACAAAATGAAATTAATAATATTATTTTTATATCAATGTCTAATATCATTTTTATTTAATTTTTTATCACAATCTGACAATTTGACTAAAAAATATCAAAAGTGAATAAATACTCAGAGACGAAAAGAGTATTTTACTCCCTACCATTTATGAGAGAAAATAGTATCCACCCATGATCTAGATTTTTATTTAATCTTAAAAAATTGATAATTTTATTGGACACTAATAACTTCTTTATAATGTAATATCTTTCGTTAGTTTCATATATTCTCTAAATTCATAAAAACACAATATCAATTTATATCGTGAGAGAAGATTGCTCATTTGCTCTAAAATTGAGGGCCAAGATAGAAGGGTCCAATAAAATTGGTATCCTTATCTAAAATTACAAACTTTCTAAACATCATTTGATATGACACAAACAATAATAAACGACCAAGCGCCGCTTGATATACTATGCACTTTTGGATCTGCTGATAAATAAAATCTTCAAAATCACTGCTTTGTGTTTTCTCACTTTAAAATAATGTTTCATTTGTTTTTAAACAAATATTCTTACCACTTATATTACATATTTTATTGAAATCCGATCAAATCAAATTAAAAATATTTTTGAACATAACGTAGTTATAATCAGACCCGACTAGACCAAAGATGGCCCATAATAGCTTGAATTGGCTTGATTGTGATTAGCCTTAACATTTTTTGAAATTATATTTTAAAATTGTCCAAATTAATATTAAAAGCTCTAGAAATTGTCTAAATTACTACAGCTGAAATTACTAATATCAAATGGCAAATTCTTTCCTGAACCTCATCAAGTCTAGAATAAATGAAATGATTATATATGTATTGGGTCTTATAAAAAGAAAAATCTAACAAACGGTAACAAAAATTGACCCATGTGTAATTTTTACCTTTTAGTTTTATACGAATTTGTAAATAAAGTAATTTTAAAAGTGATAGAATTTTACAAATTATTCTAACAGTAACAACATTTTGGGACGAAAGTAATATATAATGCAGAGTAATTTCTTTATTTTCCTTTCTCAAATAAAAAACTAAACAAAAATTTCCCGTCTAGATTTTTCCCCTCAAAAATCTACTCCTTTCCATAGTGTGTTTGGTTTAAGAAATTTGAAAAGGAAAAAAATAAAAATAATTTTTCTTGTTTGGTTAGAGGTTAAAAAATAAGAAAAGTGAAAAGAAAAACAAATGTAAGGAAGAAATAAACTAAAAGAGAAGGGAAACTGAATTTTTTTTTTCATTTTTCTTTTTCCGATTCCAACCAAACACAGAGTATCAGTAAAAGTAATTTCACAGAAATTATCGTCGTATTTCAGAGAACGAAGCTTCACTCAACTTTTTTCAATTCAATTTATTTAAGGTAGTGTTTGGCAACTAAGATTTCATTTCAATTCATGTATTTCAATTCCAAAATTTGAAATCTTGAATTTCAAATGACAAGGGGAGGGACATGGATTTAAAATTAAACTTTGTTTTGAATGAGAAGAATTTGATTCAAATCTAAATTCAAAATTTGTAAGTTTCCCAAACATGGAATTTGAGCCAAATACGGATTTGAAATCCAAATCCATGTTCCCTAACATACCATAAACGAATTGGAAAAAATAAACAAATAAAGAAAAAAAAGTCCCACCAGTGAATAATGAAACATTTTGGAATGGGAGTGGAAATTATTCTTGCGTTGGAAAAATATAAATACCTTGTCCGGGTCTAGGATCCTGCTCCGTAGGCGAATATAGAGAAAGGAAGTCATGCGTGGTAGCCGATCTTCCTGTCCAAAAGTGTGAAGAACACGCCATTCAAATCCCCTTTTATTTCAGCTTTTTTACCGAGTCCCGCTCGCGGTAAAATGAGCAATTTTAAAGTTTGACAACAATATCTTTTAAAATATACAAGCAATTTTTTTTTTTTGAAAAATAATATCCCTAATTTGATTACAAATTGTTACTCCGGGTAGTTACGAGGTAAAATTTTTCGCCTTTTAAAATCATTTAATTTATAAATTGGTATATTAATAAGAAATAAAAATTACTCCGGGTACAAATTAAAAACCTACGTTAAAATTTGTACAAAATGATACGAAGTATTTGACAAGAATAATTTATTTTATCAATATTCTCAATGGAAGCATATAAATAAACAAAAGTTATCGAGTCAAGAAAAAGAAAATAATTGTGATCAAAATTGGAATAAATGGAATATATAATTAGTAAACGTTTGACACGCAAAGCGAAACGAAGAGTTAAATAAGAATGAGAATGGAGTATCTCACAACAGAAAAAGAAACAGTGTACCATAAAAAAACCTAGCATTTTTGTTTATTTTTTGTTCATAATAAAAAAGGTTTCACTTCCTATTTCTAGAAACAATATTGTAACATCTGCAAATTTCTGTGTCTATTTCTATTAAACAATTTTATTTTTTTTAAATATTTATCTCCAGCAAAAATCAAATGTAGAACCTTTTTACTGTGTACTGAAAAGTAAAATAAAATTACCATCTGTTCCGAAAGCTCGCGGCTGAGGCAACTCCATCGCCGTCTTCGACCGTCTGGTATTCGACAAATCTCCGAAATTCAACAGAATTTGACGATTCAGATGCGTTATTTCTTCAACTCCTCCTTTTAGATCCGCACCGGCGACGATGTGTTCCGCATTCGGGACCTTATTTAACCGCTAAAAAAACTCCGGCGAAATCTCAAATAATTCTCCCCTGCGTGACCAAATTGAGCGAAATTCAATCGAAATCGAGACACGAAAATAACAGAGCGTGAAGAATTCCAACAAGCAAAAGCTGTGATGAAGGAAGATCCAGATGCAGATTACCTGTGAGATACGAAGACGGAGCGACGAATTCGGATGGGAAATCAAACAGCGAAAATTATCCAATCCAAACAGTGAATCGTCCCGATTTCCGGTTGTAGGCCCGGTTATCCCAATACGGAATCACTCTCTCTCTCTCTCTAGAATTGATCTTGGTTCTTGTGAGTGGGCAGTGGCTGTTCTGCGTTCTCGCTTCCAGATACTTAAAAAGAGAAAAGGGCCGTTCTGTGCTCCGTTCCGTGAAAACGGAGTGCCACTCACGGCGTTGCAGCGATTAACGACGTTTGGATACGGTTAACGGCTTCTTCTATCGGGAATGCCGTCAGCTTGACGTGCTAATTCTTTTTTTATTTTATTACGGAGAGTACTTTTTTTGGGATCCCAATAAAAAAACTTTGCGAAATTACTCACACCCTAAAATAGCCGAATCAAACTTGTGCGTCATTTACATTTAGCCTTGCTTGGATGAAGGGAAAAAATTGAAGAAAAGAAAATGGGACGACAATAATGAGGAAAAAATTAGTGTTTGAATTCTTAGAAAATGATAAAAAGTTCGTATTAAAAATGGTGGGAGAAAAAGATACAACTTTTTCACCTATATTGGAGAGAAAACTTTTATGTGTAATTTTCTCTCTTCCCTCATTTTCTCGCAAAATCAAATTAACAAAAGAAAATGCTTTGAAATACGAGTTTTGTTATCTTGTATTTTCTTTGCTTCTCTTTTCTTATCATCCAAACAATGTGTTAGAGGTCCATCTTCTTTTACTTTGTCATCCCGAAAAAATTCACATCTTGTCCTCTTCTTGATAATTTTTATTCCCTTTAGTTAATTTTGAATCATTATAGTGAATATATGAAATGAGAAAATATAGTGAATTTAAAAGAAAAATTTGTACTAAATAGGACTAAAACATAAGTCATTTTTCAATGTAATGCTTAAACTTTTTTACTCCATAAATAGGACTTAATAATGTCTAATGAGAGGAATAATGTACAGTGATGGTGAACATTTACTTGAATAATGACTAATGGATAATGACCAATTTTTCTACATTTGAAAATAAAAATATATGGTCCTAAATTTAGAAAGACATTATGTTTTAGTCTTATTTAGATAAATTTCTCCTGAATTGAAAAAAGTTATTCTGGATTTGTGGACAACCCAATTTTTTTCGCAGGGCAATTAACTCTTTTCTTTGTTTAATAGAATTTTTATTTTATTTTTATCTTTAAAAAAAGAAATAAGTGGCTCACCATGCTTATGCATGGTTTATTTCTTCAATATTATACTCCCTCCGTTTGGAAAAACCCTTCCCATTTGATTTGGGGGCAAAAATAAGGAAATGTTAAATTATAGTTGATTTCCAATTTTGCCCCTGATGTGATGGGTAAAAGTAAGATGTGATGGGTAGATTATTAGAGAAAAAATATGATGTGATAGGTAGGGTATGAAAAAGTAAGGGTAAAAGTGGTTTTTTAATGGAAAGGGGAAGTGTTTTGTTAGAAGTGGAAAAAATGAAAGAGAAAGTGTTTTTGAGAACGGAGGGAGTATTATATTTAGTATTCTGAAAATTTTATACCAATTTTAAATATCATTTCTCCGCTGAAATTTACATTAAATTATAAACAAATTTAATTAAAAATACTTTAATATTTTCCTTGAAAGGAAAATAATTGTAGTTAAATATTGTGAAAAGGAACTTTAAAAAAAACTTTATTTCGGAATCCAATGGAGACCAATCCATCACCACCACAGATGGCGGAGGGAGGGGCGGCATGTAGATGGTGTGGGCCTAAATTAGGAACTAACCACCGAAAGGAAGTGCTTTTACGGTTTTACCCCCCTGGCCATTGCTATGGCCACACGTTCTTCTTCTTGCACTACCCTGTTTTTTTTGTCTTGTGCTGCCAAATTTATCTCTACACACATGAACATAATGGTACTTACTTTGCTAAAGTACATAATAATAAATGCACTATCCCTCCCAGTTTACCCCTAATTTCACATTAGGTTAGAAACAATGAAATATTAGACTAAATAATATTGCTAATTGAATTATGGATAACGTAATAGATAATGGAAATGAGAGATTACTAAGGCTGTGTTTCGTTCACTTGATCTGATCTGATTTTTTGAATATTTGATTTGGTCTGATTTGATTTGGTCTGTTCGATTGCAGCTATAATTAAAGTTGTTTCTGATCTGGTTTGGTCTGATCTAATATGATTATAATAAGAATAAGTAATAAGCGGAAAAAATAAGTTGAACGGAACACTGCCTAACACAACTAGAAATAGAGAATAGAAACTAACCAAAGTACAACATGTACTATAAATAGAAACATAAAACTGACTAATAATCAAACACTACCGTAACTAATACTACTGTAAGCAATACTCCGTACTATATATTATTGTTGTCTAACAGTTACGTATTAGAAATTTATGTTAGATTGGACATGATGATTAAAACTACGTTATTCTATTTGAAATGAGATATGTAAAGAGTCTTTTTCGACTATTTTGTGTCAGAATTTGTATAATTACACATTGTACTTCTATGAATTGTACATCAATTAGACTTATACATTCCAAAACTGATGGAGTCATAAGTATAGAGATGTACTTACACTAACTACACGTCTACTGAGTAAAAAAGGAGAGTTCCAACTATTCTCACGCCTTCAAGTCAAGCAAGAGAGGGGCGATGTGTACGTCTTCCTCCATCACACCAAGTCACCAACATGGTTGATCGATCGAGACACATTGAAAAATGTGAAATGGTTTAGGTAGTCGAATATGTGTTGGAATAATTTTGGTAAGAGGGAAAGTAATGTTGCAAAGGAGCGTTATAAGATATCATAAAAAGAACAAGAATAACGTCTTATAGAAGATATTATAACAAAATGTATAAAGCACTTTTAGATTAAAGTTAGTTTGAAGAATATCAAAATATTTAAATCGGATTATACGTAAATGCAAGACTGGCTTCTCCTGTCTAAGAACATATTGAAGTCAAGTCATTATACATAGGACATATTTAATGGATGTGTTTGAAAACACATAGTCACGCCCATGCATGAAGAGATGCTTGCGGTTAAAGGTAATTTCAAATGTAAATATCTTGTGTTCAAAACACAACGGATGCCGACCAAGAACTTTTCTCCTCGGACCCTGCTATCACATAAGGAGTGTCTTACCTTTGAACTCAATGACAATATCTATTAAAATTTTCATTTATTCAATATAAAATATTGATTAGCCAAGATAGATGATTACAGTAAAATCACCAATAATACGGATATTAAAAAAATGTCCATTTTGAAAGTAATTTCCTTTAAAAAAAAAAAGGTGAATTAAATTAAAAATAAATTGGAGTAATAACGCGTAGAGTGAAAATAAAAAAGGGAATGTGGGGTCGGTGAGTTTGACCAAGGAAGCTCACGTGCAATTTACACATAAAGACAAAAAAAGGTGCGTGTCAAAGGCAGTACCACTCTGGCCTCTGCACTTGAGTTTGGACTTTGGACGAAATGGACCTTCTTTGTCCAATGCCCATCATCCACCCACACTATTCTCATTATTCTCTATTCTTTTTTTTTTTTTTTACCGAGTATTTCTTTCAACTTATGGATCATTTCAAAGGTGAATATTACTCGACACAAGTTTCTTTCTCATTTGATTTAAGCTAATTAAGTTTAAATATATTTTTAATTTGTTAAAGAGTATTGCACATGAGAACTTGAAAACAAATAATTATTGAGTTGAACAAAGATTAATTACTTACTTCAACTCAAGAGCTTGTATATCAATTTATTTTCTCTCCAATTTTCGATGTGAAATATTCTTTAACATTTTCTTTCAAGTGGACAACTAAACTATTTTGAATCTAACATTGACCACATGCAAATAGACTTCCCTCCCTAGAAAATGAAATGATCAAATGTGTCAACACTTAAAGGATACGAATCGCTAGACATGGATTTCCAGACAAACAATCAGATTATATGAGCCACATGCCATTTTCTAAACGAACAACTGGCTAAAGATAAATGGGACACTAAGAATGAAGTTTTGAACTGTTTTAATAGAATCACAATTATTATTTTCCAAACAAAGTTTTGATTTATTTTAATAAAATCAAAATTTATATTATACAAATTTATACGAATGAGAGGTAACAATTTTTGCACTACCAATTCCAAATCCACATTTGTGTGCTAATAAATAGTAGAATTAGAATTGTTGTTGTCAATTCCAATTACATAGTTTGAATTTCGTGTATCAAACAGAACTTAAGAATCACTCATTTAATTTCTTCTTTGAATAAAATGAAAATCAATCTCTTTTTTCGTGATCCATTTACTTTATTTTTTCTTTGAGCCAGTAGCTAAGGTTTAACCTTAGAAGTTAGAATTCAAACTTTATTTAAAAAATTGTGTTAAGGTAAATATGAAATGTAGTATGTATCCATTTTGTCTCAAATTCATCGTCTAGCGTAGTTATTTATATGACACAATTTTCTTCTATTTTTTACATTTGTTAATTATTTATTAAAACAATATAGGCATATTGCAATGCAACGTTTTATCTTCAAAGTTTGCTATTTTTTATATATAATTATCTTTAAAAATAAAAACTCAAAACACGTTATTCATAATATACTCTCTCCATCTTAAAGTTTTCTTCCAGTTTGGTTTCTGAGGTTGGAGAAAAATTATTTTCACTTAGTATAGATGTAAAATTAAAAAATAAAAATATTCGAGTATATAATTTAAAACTACGAAAGAAATGGAGAGAGTAAGTTACCAAAAATTTAAGACGAAAGAAGAACTTATTACTCCGTATTAATATAATTTATCGTGGGGGTATGGGACGAAAAGTGATGGTGTTAAATTTGGAATAATTATGGAAGTGTGATTAATTAGAAAAAATAAGGCGTACATCATGTCAATTAGGGAGCACCAAACATGGTGCTTGTGTTTTGATGAAATAAATTGATTTAGTAAAAGACAAAAGAGAACAATTAGTTTCAATGATTGGCTTGTGCTACACTGCTACCTACTCCCTCCGTCCCGCTATATTCGTCCACTTTTGACTTTTGGAACTGTTCATCTAAGCACTTTGACTCATCAAATTCTCTCAATGTGTAAGCCTAAATATAGTCATGCGTGATCTTGTT